CTTCGTCGCTACACACTGCGTGTGACCATTTCCCGACTCTTGGAGAGAGAAAAAACTGTTTTGCTCTTCGTTGAATGACCCATTTACATATGTGTATAAGCTTACTGGCCAGTCAAGTAATTCAACCCGCTTGCCTACAAGACACAGACCCTTGTTTATCAAGTTAAGATCTAGGCTAGACACACATCGTCTGCTAAGCTTTCGAGCAATGCTATGCAAGTAATACAATTAGATCTATTTGCACTCTGGAGGCCTATAAATGTTCTGTATAGAGATAGCTTATTGTGGTGCCTGACAGCAAAGGCTTCGAAATAGTTTGAAAACCTGTCTGAATAATATAGCCTTGTTGAATTAGATGATTTGGTGCATGTAAAATGAATTGGTTCGCAAGATGTTTAGCTTAGAATGTTTGTTAGGCTATGGGCATGTGTTTCAGTTTCGCCACTTGTATATATTACAATATCGTCACAGATTTTATGTATGTAATCTTAGTATGTGTCCATCTCCTCGAGGGGTCAAAATAGAGGTTAAAAATCAAAGCTGTATTAAAGAAATGCCTGTTGATAGATTGTCATTGTAGCATGAGCCTATGTAATGAATCATCTGAAAATGTAAAGTGGCATTTTTGGCTTTTGGGAAAGGTGACCGGCTTTAGTGGTGTACGTGGCGTGGGTGAGTGTGTAACGAACAGGCTTATGACTTGCACGTTTCAAAACTGGGGTCTTCGACGCCAACTCGTTTGGTGGTAGTTGGGGGGGGGGGCTAGTCTTATTTGTTGAATCCTGTAAACGACATTTTGTCCCGAAAGTGCTGGTGAGTCTCCTTTCGGGTGGGTAGCAAGTCCTTAAAAAACATTCCTGGAGGTTTCAGACTCAGACCAGCCCCCAGTACAGCCATACAGTGACCAACAAATTGTATGTGGGGTAGCACGGAGAAAACGCCTTGTCGGGGCGGGTAAGAAGCCAGCCTGACTTTATTGGAAACTCGCTTTGAATCCAGTCCATGTTTTTCATGAAATCGACACCTAACTAAATGTGTACTCCCGCCAAAATGATTCATGCTTTTGAGCTGATTTACATGGACAGAAATTTATGACATTGTTTGTGATCTGCTATTTTTTCGATACATTTCTTGGCTATTATTTAAACTGCACCATCAAGTTCTCCGTTCTAGTCGTATATCTTCAGATATTATCTACCATAGCTGTTTGGTAGCCTACCTACCTCACAATAGCAGCCTAGTAAAATTCGAAACAGAGGCAGTGGCATCTAGAACAGGTAGGGGTTAGGTTGGGATAAGACGCCCATACCCTATTATATTCATCTTGGCCTTTTCCCCAGCTACCTCTGTCACACCAACTACTTCCGTCACACCAACTACCTCCGTCACACCAACTCTCCGTCACACCAACTCTCCGTCACACCAACTACCTCTGTCACACCAACTAACCCCGTCACACCAACTCTCCGTCACACCAACTACCTCTGTCACACCAACTAACCCCGTCACACCAACTCTCCGTCACACCAACTACCTCTGTCACACCGACTACCTCCGTCACACCAACTACCTCTGTCACACCAACTACCTCCGTCCCACCAACTACCCCCGTCACACCAACTCTCCGTCACACCAGCTACCTCTGTCACACCAACTACCTCCATCACACCAACTACCTCCATCACACCAACTACCTCCATCCCACCAACTATCTCCGTCACACCAACTCTCCGTCACATCAACTACTTCTGTCACACCAACTACCCCCGTCACACCAAATACCTCCGTCACACCTACTACCCCCGTCACAACAAATACCTCCGTCACACCAACCACCCCGTCACACCAACTACCCGTCACACCAGCTCTCCGTGACACCAGCTCTCCGTCACACCAAGTACATCCGTCACACCAACTACCTCCGTCACACTGTCACACCAAGTACCTCGTCACACCAACTCTCTTTCACACCAACTACCTTCGTCACACCAACTCTCCGTCGCACCAA